GCAACAATATTACTATGTTATACGGACCCATATTAACAAAAAACTGAAAGTTCCCTTTATTGTGTAGGGAAAATATGTTTTATGTGTATTATGGTTGTCTACCTTTTTACAAAAAAAAATAATTAAAAGCTAAATAAAGTAACAGACAATAAAATCATAAGTAAATGTATTTCAGATTTAGAGCTTAACAGATAAAATTAAGGTATATTATATATATTTAAAAATATTAAAACCAATTATAACAATATAAACAGAAGTTAAACGAATTAGCCTTGTTTATATAATTATATGAACATTGATATTACAAAGTGAAATCGGTGAATTAAATTTGTTTCACTTATCATTTCTGTTCTTTAAATTTAAAACATCATAAAGATGTATTCGAACTTTAAATACTTTAATAAACTGAAATATTAGCTAAAAGTTAAATACAATGTTCTAATTTCCATCATGTGTATATAACATTTGCTATACATATATTGCAATTTTAGTCGCCAATCCTATAATTGTAGTATGTATCCACTAAAGTTGTTTTAATATATAGTTTGCACATTCATAAAATCAAAGTTCGAATAATGTTTTCCCAAATTTTAATTTTGTTTAAACATATATTTCATCCTGTAAAATTACCAACTATATATTTTTGCATATAACCCACTCTTTTGCCAAACCTTTTCCGGCACTATCATATATTTATGTAACTGCTTTTATAATTGTTTTATTCTTTAATCGTCTTACTAGTTAGTCCAGGTCTTAATCTGAATAATGTATCATTTAAAGAAATGTCTTCAATAATAGCGGCATAGTTCATCTAGCTGTTGGAAAGAATTAATGACACAGTACATACCTCTTCAGTCAAGTATTTGACGATCACACAGAAGGAATCGAAACCTAAGATTGCGTGCTTTAGTTGCATCTTCAGCAGATTTAGCTCCTTGGTTCGAGTTTCACATAAAGCTCCAAGTCGCTGGATCTCTTGGACATACTCCTGATTCTTCCTGTGATCTGTCGTCTGTCGTCCTTTCTCTATAGAAGACTCTGGACGGTGAGAAAATTTCTTTATGAACAAACTTAACAGGACTACAGACGCGGTACCCAAAACAATGACATTTTTAAATTTAGCACCAGAGAAGAACACTCGCCACCAGTCAAATAAATCCATTTTTCCATCACGGAACATAACTCGATGATTATTATCTTGATTGAAATGGAAATATTTCCAATCTCACTTTTATACTCTCACAACCACACCAAACATCAGAGTTCGCGTAATAAAAAGACTACTTTCATAATTTCATTGTTTGTTAATAAAGTTAAACTAAAAATATGGGTTGAGAGGGTTATTTTATTTTGTCCTGTGAAAGGTCTTGCTACCTCAAGCGTTGTAAAAAATCACATCCACCTTTAACAATCATAACTGCGAATATCACTGAGCTTATTTAACATATATATATATATACAGTGTTATGAACCCTTCTGTTTGAAGATTTTCCTAAATCTTCATTTATTTCATCGTAAGGACCAGAAAAATAATGGTAAATCAAAAGGAAAAGTATCAGTAGCTATCATATCTGGATAGTCCGTTGCCATCGCTGAAAGAAAATTAGCTCACAAAATTGCTTAATATTTGATTGAGCAAGGACTATCAGAGTGAGTTAGTTATTGTAACAAACGTAGTTTATATAAAGTACAGTTATTCAGAGAACGAAAATTGTAAAAAAACAAAAAAAAACAACAACGACGACCAGTTGCTCTAGTTATTATCCAGCAAGTTAAATGAAAAAGAAATACGAACATCTGTTGGAAACAAGTCACGTCACAGACAGACACGTTACAAAACAGCCTTGAAACTACAACTTTCACAATATTCTGTAACGATACCGTGAAAACTCCAACAATGCTATGCTCTATAGATAAGTTACTGTTCTAACATCGGAAGGACGTGTTTTTGTTTTACATCTAGAACTTCAGATAAACACACGTCCGTATTCGTGGTGTTACTCACAGAGATTCACGATCTTAGAGATGAGCTCACATGACCTACTATTAATCACAGAGCTCTACTTAAGGAAAGGATTCCGAACGAACCTCCGAATGAAGTACTAAATAAAATAATGCCCACTCTCTGAGGAGGGACACTGAACGAAAAGAGTCTTATATAAATGGCTTATTGCAACATTACCCTCCCGTCGTTCTTTCTCTCTGAGAATATTTTAACGTACACTTAAAGCCTACTGAACTAGTCACTTGTTTGACCAAATATGTCCACTTACTGTAGCTTATTAATTCTTTGTCCAGATGGTACGTGTTGAGTGAAGAAGTAAGACATGAAATTTCGTGATCACACATAAAACCTGTTTTTTTAAACGTGACACCAGTGCGCCAGGTGTTTCAAATGTTTAAACCTGCCATAATCACACAGATTAGAACAGGCTTTTTTAATTATCTGAAAAATTAATGGAATTATTAACAAACACTACAGGAATCTGTAAAATTATGTGCCGATTGTTTTATTTTATATAATATTTATCTTACTCATTTTCTTTTTACACAAAATGTGTTTAGCAAAAACCGTACGTTTCTTTGTCAGCATTTCTGAAATTATTTTGCTAAATTAATAAAATATACTTTTTATGTAAAGAAAAAAAAAAACAATGATTCAATATATATCAAAACTTTCCATGGGCTAGTTTATATATCAGACAACTTACGATAAAGCAGATTAAATGGGAAAAATAAATTATTTGGCCTTTTTTATCTTTTATCTTTTTTTATATAATGCAATGTCAAATAACACTCAACAGGTAATCTTATCATTCAGAAAGTAAAATAAGTGGATTTCTTACTTTCAGGAGTAAACAGAAGCTTCCCATTTTGTTGTATCCATTGCAACATTAATTTCTCGAGCTGAGAAAACGTAACATTGCTAACATCAGAAAACTGTTTGGCTAGTTGTGTTGAGAGTAAAGGTTGGTCAAGGTTTGTGCTTACCACAGTTGGTTTAAAAGATTCATCTATTTTTCTTTCTAAGAGCATTTTACCCTGATGGTGGCAGGTAGAACAAATACTTTGTTTAGCATCATTTTCATCAGAGAATGAAGATGTAGAAGGGTTTAGAAAATCTGATGATATTACGGAAGGGAGTTCTTCTGGAGAACTACTGTATTTTATTGTTGTGTTTGAGTCGCAGGAACTCACAATGTCTGGTTTTATAAGATGATCCTGTTTGTTTGTTTGAGAATCAAATCCAAACAGTCCACCATTCTTTTTTTTATTTTCCTGTAATATGTTTGAATCATCCCCTAATCCAGTGGACTCCTGCATATCTAAATATTTATTTGGGTAAATAAGATCGATTTTTGTGTCAGATTCAAGATTAGAGAATTCCAGATCTGTTTCAGGTTTATTTAGTAAACTGTAAGACACCTCTTCAAAGTTTCTATTTCTTCTTGTTTCAAAGTCACGATAGGGGTCAGTAGAAGGACTTTGACACACTTTTCTTCGTTTTGTAGTTATATCTGATGAACTATTTACATGCTTATTTGTAGACATCTGAAACTCATCATTATTTTTGTCTCTTTCTCGTTCTTGTGCTTCCTGGTTGTATTGGTTGATCTCAACATCATTGATTTTCGATCTAGCCATAACTGAACAGGAACTCTTGCATGACTTTGAATTTTCAAGCAACTGATCCGCAAAACGCACATGGTGTGTATTTCGCACGTTTTTATTCATTTGCAAAGCTGAGGGTTTTCCCAGTGGCCTTAGAGTGCGATCTGCTTCTTTATATAGTGATGAAACATCTGCCTTTTCTTTGCTGCTTTTTCCTGAAGAAATAGATTTATTGAATTCGCTTTTTAATCTCTGATGGCAATTTTCTTTATTCAGTAACGTAGAATGCCACGAATCAGTCTTTTCCAGTTTTAAGGGAACTAACTGTTTCTTTTCATTAGAGTCACATGGGCATGTCGACACTAATACTTCAGCACTATCACTAGCTTGTTCTGGCTTCTTTATTCTTGAATCATCCTTATTGTTTCTGAGCCTGTCTAGACTTTGAGTTTTAGCGCGTGTTTCTTCTTCAAACTTTCTGTGCTTCTTTAAATCACACGTACTATCACTGGAATAATCTTTCAAGTGTACCAAACCACCGATAGCATACTTAACTTTCTTATGGTCGGTGTTCAATGTCGTAATCGTGTCTCCAGGATCAGAAGTAACTGATGCTGTAGACCTTCTTTTCAAGTTATCGTAATGTTTCATTTGGGAAAAGATGTTAGAACTCGTACTACGAGGAAGAGTAGCAGCCTTTTGGTTGACGCGGTTTGAGTTATCTGTTGTTGCTAATTTTCCACATGTGGATTCATCTTTCGTTACCGCCAAGTCTCTCTCAGGAAGATCTGAGATGACCACATCAGAGTATTGGTCATTTTCCGCTAGTTCGCTTCTGTGGTAATTTTCTTCTCTCAGTTTTGATTCCGTCTCCGAGGGTGTCTGTTTTTTCTCTGTTAGTTTAAAAATTTGCAAGAATCCTCCTCGTTTTGGTTTCTTATTCTTATTTTGATCGCCAGATTCATGTGTAATTGTGGATCCCAGTGATTGTGGATTATGATCCAACTCAACCGATAGACTAGGGTGATCACGCCGAGGAAAACCATCCAGATGTCGGCTCCATTTAACCTTCATGTTCCTTACGTAAAAAAATGGAACTGCGGGCTATATATACACAGATGTTCGACAGACGAGAATCCCTAACGTGTGTTCACGGAATAAACAATAACACTGACAAAAGCTATAATAAATGTCGAAATCAGAACTGAACTCTTCCATTGCCAGATAAATCAGAAACTCATCTGACATTTAAGCCATTCACTCCGCTTTTACAACCAATGCCTTGTTGCACCTTTGTTGAAAGTAGCGAATACAATTCACTCGATATCTCAAGTTTAGATAGCCCGAAGTTTCAGACTACTAACAACTTCCTTCTATATAACTTACATTCTCACGAGCGAAGAGATGACCTACTACATCAGGTCCCGGGATTTGACACCGTCTGTACCGAAGTTGCTTTTCATGACAAACGTGAGTATACAATAACTGACCATTAGCTATTTACAAGGTAGTATTTAACGTTGTAAAACACTTTACCTAGAATGTGAAGCTAATGAAGGCTGTCTTATATTGCAAATACATTCTGTAGCCTAACCTCGTCACTAATGGCTTGCGTGTATGTGTCGGGGAGAAACAGCCCTCTGGTACAGCGGCCTGGGCCTTGTAAACGTCACGTAACACAGCGCATGACGCTGAACATTACAAACCAGTTCGTAACTGGAGTTCAGACATTTGAACTATGTCTTTTTTTATTTGTTTTTGAGATTACATATTATACAGTTTCATTGTTTAATGAATATATTTTTATTATTAATGTTGTTTTTTCTTTTATGATTTATCTGATTTTAAATCTGGTATTAGTTGTTTTTCGTTCGCTAACCATAATATTAATGTTAACTACTTTCGATTTCTTTACAGTTAAATTGGAATAAAGAAAAAATAATAAACATTTCAAGATGTTGATTAAATATTATATTTTGCTGTTATTGTTTCTAGGTGCAGGTTGGTCTTTCTGGTAGAGCTCTGGATCTCGAGGCTGGCGACTCGGATTAGAATTCGTGCGATACCACAAAATATTTCTCGTACTTTAAGTTGTGAATCCGTTTTAAGAGTGACACTTATTTACTTAGCATGAATGGTGGTTGGTAGATGCTGCTGACTGGCTACCCCTTGCTGGCCAGTAGCTTAAAATTGGTCAAATAACCTCAGTAGCTTTTCCATAAATACAAAAATACAAACACATATCATTTCTATCTGTCAAATAAATTTGATATCAATAATCAGTCTGAATCTGCAAGAATTTCTAGAAGTAGCTGAGACAACAGCAATATTTGAACAGGAAAACAGTAGCAATATTTGAACAGGAAACAGTAGCTATATTTGAACAGGAAACAGTAGCAATATTTGAACAGGAAACAGTAGCTATA